CACCCTCCTCCTGGTGTCTGTGTACCGACTCAGAGCCAAAGGTAACGTTCACCCAGCTGCTGACCAATCAGTCAATCAATCAATCAATCAATCAATCAATCAATCAATCAATCAATCAATCAACAAATGAACCAACCAATTAATAAATTAATCCATAAATGAACCAATCAATAAATCAATCAATCGATCAATCAATCAATCAATCAATCAATCAATCAATCAATCAATAATTCAGTCAATCAATCGATGAACTTATCAGTGAATCAACAAACTAATCAATCAACCAATCAATCAATCAGTCAACTGATCAATCAATCAATCAATCAACCAACCAATCAATCAATCAATCAACCAATCAATCAATCAATCAATCAATCAACAAATGAACCAACCAATTAATAAATTAATCCATAAATGAACCAATCAATAAATCAATCAGTTGATCAATCAATAAATCAATTACAAACTCAATTAAACAATCAATAACCCATTCAAACAATCAATAACCCAATCAATCAATAAATTAATCTATTAATCGACCAATTAATCAATCTTCAGGTCTCTCTGACTGAACTCTCCATGTTTTATTGATCTCTTCATTTTCTTTCTCACCTGCTCTGATTACAGGAAGTAAACAGCCCGTCTCCGTGGCGACGGCCCCGCCCCTCCAGGCTGAGCCGGGATTGGACGGTGACCACGATGACGTCACCACAGAGCATCAGTTCTGAGGCCGTTCTGACCCCTGAGGGGGAAAGCTTTTTATTAAAGATGTGCTGTGTGTAAAACATGTGAGCTTTGCCTTTTTCTCCAGAGAAACTGAACCGACTGAGACCAGAGCTGGACCTGTCGATTATGGGGTGGAAAAGAGAGAAAAAGATTATGACTTCCATCTGGAAAAGCCTATTTTTAGATTCTCCCTTTAAGCTTCAAGTGTTTCCAGATGGAAAGAACAGAAACAGGACTATAATATTCAAATAATATTTTATTCAAAAACTACAGTAATAAAATTTCATTTTAAAAATACAATAAAAAATAAATATTATAAAAATTGCACATTTGACTTCAGTCTGACATGAACAAGCTGAATTGCACCTCAAAGCGTCCAGTCTGAGTTCAACACATTAAAGGTACAGCAGGATTTCAAATCCAGCCTTTAAAACACGAAGCTCATTAGCTGAACGGTAATGAGGTCACATTTACAAACTGAGGTTTTGAGCACAGCTCATAAAAAAATACTAAACATTCCACTTGTTCATTCAAGACACAAATATTTCTATTTAAAATAGAAATGTAACTGGACTTTGTCCACTGGCTCGTAAGACCAGAGGCCAAGGAGCTGGCCTCTGATTGGGCGGGAGGTCCCTGATTGGGCAGGAGGTCTCTGATTGGGCGGGAAGCCTCTGATTGGGCGTGAGGAGAACACGACAGGCTTCTGTGGACGTTTCTGGGCCGTTCTGACTAAACGCCATTTAATATGTGCACTTTATTTTTTATTGCATTTTATTACTATTGGCTGTAGTTTTTCTTTTCTTTTTCTCCCCACCTGCCACAAAGCAGACGCGGGTTCGATTCCCCATGAATAAACTATTTTAGTTGTCAAACCGTTCGGATTCTCTAGGACTAGCAAAATTCCACATTTTTAAATCATTCCAATTATTTCTGACTTTCCAAATTAAATGAATTTGAAGCCTTCAAATCCATCACAAACTTTAACCCACCTCAGCCTACTGTCAGCTGGAAACAATATATACTTTTAAACGGGTCTAAAGGAATTCAGCTTTTACAAAATGACTGTTCTCTTTAGGCTGGTCCCGATCCGATATCTGGATCCAATCGGCCGCCGATATTTGCAAAGAACTGCGTATGGGCCAGCAGGAGAAAATGCAGATCCAGACTCCAGATCCAGTTATTTTCGTCCGATCATTAGCATTAGCATCTGTAACCCACAGGTCTGTGTCCTAACCATTAAGTTGTTATCAGAGCATTAGCGTTAGCATTAGCATCTGTAACCCACAGGTCTGTGTCCTAACCATTAATTTGTTATCAGAGCATTAGCGTTAGCATTAGCACCTGTAACCCACAGGTCTGTGTCCTAACCATTAAGTTGTTATCAGAGCATTAGCGTTAGCATTAGCATCTATAACCCACAGGTCTGTGTCCTAACCATTAAGTTGTTATCAGAGCAAATCCCTGTTTAACATGAGTCTGACAACTAAGTAAGTAAATAAATAACTTTAGACTTTAAACTAGGGTTGTCAAAAGTATTGATACTAAAACGTTTATAAATATAATTACATATGTATACATTTACACTTTTTGTTTATACATACACACACACACACACACACACACACACACACAAGTATAAATGTTTGTATATCTGAAGTGTGTAACGAAAATAATTTCCTTTTGGGATTATTAAAGCAATTCTGATTCTGATTATACTTTTAGGGTTAATATACATATTCCAACTTTGTTCAAATCGTGAATCATTATCATGAACGCGACCCATTAAAGAGGAAGTTTGACTACATGATGCTCACACCATTAATATTTTGCATACCGCTAGTTTGAATGACGAATGCAAACAAAAACGGGTTATATCCCACATAACTGGTTTGAGAGCTAAAAGATATCCTTATATCAAAGATGAGCCAATGGACGCTTGATTTGATTTTAATAAAGCCTAAGATTTCTTTAAACATGTCACTTTTATGTTATTTCTAAAGTGTACGACTGATCCTTAACGTTGTCTTGTGAATTACATATAAATCACAAGGCGGAACCAGCTTTTAAAATGGCGTGCTAACAGCGACCGAAGGCTAAAAGTTGTCTAAAGTTAGCGATTAACTACGACAGTCAAGTACAATAGTAACAATATAAGCACTTGCACTGAAACTTGACCGTTTAGTTCCACGAGCAAAGATCTCTTATTACTTAAAAAGTTAAACGAATCAATGAGCCAAATCCCGACGTCAACCGACCCGATTTTCAACAAATCACTCGGTTTGTTGAAAAGTTACAAATCATTAACCCGTCCGTTCAAGACTTACCGAAAAAACAGCAAAGGAACAACAGACCAAATATTCCTCCCATTTGAACAGCGGTGTCGTGGTGGCACACCTGGATGACAGGTAAAATAGAGATCACTTCCGGCAAAACCCTTCTATTTAAAGCCTGTGAAGGAATTTGATTGGTCCAGCCAGACAGCTAGGAAACCGGTGCTCTAGGCCAGCGTCGTAAATATAGTTTTAAAAAAAAACTATTTGGAAAACAAAATGGTGAAAAATATGATAATACTTAATTATTAGAGATGGCGAGATGAAGCTTCATAAAACCTTGAAACGTTCCATCCAGTTGGTTCGGAGCATCATGGAGCCTCATTTGCATTATTGCGCCATCAAGTGGACAATAAAGGTAAAACCTATAGTGTGATTGTAATGATCAGAGTTTGTTCAAATTCGGTTTGAAATCGTTAAAAAACATTATTGGGACACTCGTCACACGGTTTAGCTTTAATTCATTTGTGCATCTGAGCGCCTTTAATCTGTCTTTTATTCACTGTTTTCTGATACAAAGGTGATAAAAGGATCATGTTTTTGGACGAAGAAATCAGAGTTAAGAGCCTTAAACCAGCTTTTATTCCACTTAATGTGATTTTTCTGTCTGCATGAAGGCTCTTTCTACTTCCCTACTAATGTGGAATTAGATAAATGATTAAAAAAGGAATATTAAAGTAATTTATAATGTTTTAATACAGATAAAACACGTCCTTCAAATAAAAAGCAGTCCAGATCCTCCAGAGTGGATTAAACAAATGTGTTTAGGCAGGGCAGCTTTATTTTACAGCACATTTCCTGTATGAGACCATTGAAAGTGCTTCACAAAGAATTTAAAAGCAGAAAAAGAATAAACAATTTGAAAAATTAGATAGATAAAAAGTGAATGTTCAGATAAAATACATCCAGTTTCCAGTTTTTAGTGTCTGATAGCGTCTGCTATGAGGCCCAGAGGTTAAAGTTTAAATAAAACAGAAGGAGGAGACAGAGAGGCAGAGATGGGGAGTAAAGACCATTTTCAGTGCAGTTATATATTTTGGAAGCAGAGGGATGTGGAGAAAAAACATGTTTGTTTTTATAAAAGCTCTCTTTTATAGGTTTGGACCTCTAAATGGACTCCTGGGAGCATTGGTACCAGAAATGTGAGGGCTGACCAAATGTCCCCACTTTGCCAAAGTGTCCTCACTAAGACCTGCAAAGTTATTTGTCATGATAAAATAGCAGAACAAACTGACAGGAAGTTGAATTCCTGACCTGGTTGTGGTGTTATGGGCACGTTAGCTCTAGAACTCCAAAGCCCAGCATGCAACAGGGTTCAGGTGCGTGTGTGGTAGTCCCGCGAGAGTCGTCGGGCTGTTAGAGGTATAACGCAGTCATGGAATTACGCTGGAGCAGTGGCGGAGCTAGACTTTTTTTCAAGGGGTGGCCAAAGGGTGAGCAAGGCTTTATCAGAGGGGTCCAGATACAAATGATGAACGAAAGGAAACAAACATTTCTATATTGAAAGCCCTTGATCTTGTTCCATGCTGAGTTCTTGGGAACTTTGACAGACATGGCTGAGCTGGACCTTCTGTTTATATGAAGTATTTTAAGAGTATTTTTGGGCAGACATCTCAATAAGTTAAGTTGTAATTAGTTAAGTTTCTGTAGCATGACATGGGTAGTGTGTGCCTACCAACTGGTCCTTTTGGTGTGCCATAGGTTGTTGTACTGGGGGGGGGGGGGGGTTCAGTGCCATTTTCTTCTGCTTCACTGTCTTCCTCCCCAGAGTCTGACTCTGAATCTACATCACCCTCATCTCTCTCTGGAACTTAATTGTGAAATGCATAAACAGACACAATAAAAAATGCAAAAAGCATCATGCTAACCTTTAGAATTAGGCTTATTGGATTTGACTGCTTAATAACTCTCTGTCACAGCCTCTAACCTGCTGGTGATGCTGGTGTCACTGCTAAAGGGTTCTGTCTGGTCCTGGTCTGGCCCTGGTTTTTGCCTCTTTAAGAAGAACTGGGAGATGTTCCCTTTTCTCTTCATTTGGGCTCTACACAAAATAAGACAGCCTGGTATTTAGACTTAGGCAGAGACAACACTATTTTAACTATTATTTAAACTATAGTTTCTAGTTTTCTGTAGCTAGCTAAAACAGTACTAAACTAAAAATAGATTAATTAAATTAATTAATATAACTAGTTAGGTTATAATTCAAAGCTTTCATATGACATAGCCTACTTACATTTCAGTCATTATAAAACTTAACAATGGTTTTTCACATATTCTTACCACACACATTTCAAGCAAGAGCTGGGAGATATACCCTGGCCAAATGAATAAAACATTTCAGGGCAGCATGTGCACTAAAACAGATATTAAAAGAATCTGTCTAAAACACGATCTATCAGCCCCAGCATGGCTAATATAATAAACGAGGCACTACGGAGTGGTGCACAACCTTTTTTTTTCTTTTTAGAAATGTATGACTGGTGCCGCCTCTCATTAGGAAGGTAACACTGAGCGGTAAATGTTGTAAATACCTGCAAAACTCCTCAAAGGTGTACTCTAAAGCCGCGGGTGTGTTTTGGATCAAGCAGGAGCACCGGGCTGCCTTCAGGGACAGTCGGAAATTACAGTTTTCCTGGCAAATCTTTGCCGATCTCATAAGTATTATATTTTAAAATGACCATTTCCTCTGGCTCCGCCACTGCGCTGGAATTAGTTAGTAAAGTCGCCAAAATAAGTATCACGTTTCCGCTACTTATTAAAAGTTAAGAAGAGCAACACACTGGTGTTCAGGTGCTTCACTCTCGGCCTTTGACAGACGTTTCCAGAACTTTCCTGGTGCCCCTCCCACCTCATCCCACCTCCACACTCACACAGGTCTCCGCCCACTTACCTGTGTTTTGTTCGGGCCGGCAAAGTCTGAACTTTTACCACATTCCGCTCAGACGCGAACGCAGAACAGAAAGTTTAGTTCGTTTTTTGTGTTTCACGCTGAGCTCGGAGAAGTGTTTGGACATTTTTCCTCACTTTTCGGGCTTGTTTCGCCACTTCCGGGTTCAGACCGCGA